CCTCCCTCCCTCCCTCCCTTCCTTCCTTCCTTCCTTCCTTCCTTCCTTCCTTCCTTCCTTCCTTCCTTCCTTCCCTGTACAGGCTTAGCTGTCTGTAGCTAAGCCTGGCAGTGAACTTACTATGCACCTGAGATGACTTTGAAGCCTGATCCTCCTGTTTCCATCTCTCAAGACCTGGGATTGGAGGCATCATCACCACGTCTGGCTCCATGTGGTATCGGGAGCTTTGTGTGTGCCAGGCAAGCACTCTACCAACTGAGCCACATCCCTGGTCCTCCTGTGTCTTCTTTATCATGGCCACACTGTCATTCTACATCCCTAAAGGTGGCAGCTGGGACAGCCTCAGGAGCTCCTGCCTCTTGAGCACTGAGAACTGTGCTCAGCACCTGGAGATGCTCAACAGCGCTTTGCTGAAGAAATCAATACGTTATGGTGGCAGCGCTGCTCCACAACCCCCTGGGAAGGGAGGAGAAGAGGGTACGTGTGTGTCACATGCTGTAACACTGACCTGCCAGGCAAGATGTATAATAGTGGCACAACTGTGATGGGGTAAGCAACCGCTTTCTGATTGGATTTGAGTCCTGCTCCACACAAGCGGTTTTACGCCTGCTACTACAGTCTGAATAGCTACTCAGCTATTCAGAAGTCCATAGCTGAGAAAGCCATAGGTAGGGGGAGATTTATTTATCTGTTTATTTACTTATTTAATGTGAGGGCCTGAGTGACTTTATACATGCCGTGTGTGTAGGTGCCATGGAGGCCAGAAAAGGATGTTAGATCCCCAAGACCTAGAGTTACAGGCAGCCGAGAGTCACCTGCCTGTGGATGCCTGGAACTGAACCAGGCTCTTCTGCAAGAGCAGTAAGTGCCCTGAATCACAAAGCCATCTCTCCAGCCCGAAGATTTATTTATTTTATGTTTTTTAAAATACTGTTAACATGTGTATGAGCCTGAGTGTATATATGTGTGCCACACGCATGCAGCTGTCTCGGAGGCCAGAAGAGGGTGCAGAGTCCCCTGGAGAAGATGGTTCTTCTTTGTGAATGTGCCCACGGGTTGGCGGGCTGCTCACGCTCCCAGGGGATGCCCACACGCACGCACAGACTGTCGGCACTACCTGGACTTAGCGGGACAGGTGTGTTGAAGGATGTGTTGTGGGAGATATTGAGGGAGCTGGAGAGTAGACATGATGTATTTCAATAGATGTATGTGCAAAACAGAGAGAAATTTAAAGCAAAGTTAAAAATTAGAAACAGAAGAAGCAGGACAAGTGCCTTGCATTTAGAACGGGGAAAGCTGAGATCACGTCCATCAGTGCAGACTGAGGACCGCTGACCCTTAAGGGGCCTTTGCACGCTCCCCAAGGACACTTTCTCTATTGCCCTCCCTGTGCCGGGAGCCCTGCTCAACACAGACAGCAGTGTGCAGGAAGTGGTGTGTGCAGGGGCTGGATGGACCAGACCGGCTTTGACAAGCGAGGCTGAGGGTGAAGGAGGGCGAGAAACGGAGGGCTGCAGCAGACCAGGCTCTACCAGGACTTCATCCACGGCGGATGCCTGGGAGCTAACCCTGCAGGCAGGAAGCCAGCTCTGCACTCTGCAAACACGAGAGGGACATGGAGCGAGGCCTGTGCCCAGATGAGTCCTGTGATGATGGTGACCGGCTCTAAGCTAGCTCCGTGTTCCCTGGCACTAGCATCCTAGCTGCAAATGCCTCTGGCCTGGTCCACTTCTGCGGATTGGGCCTCTGACCACAGCTGTTTCCCCCACCCTCCTCCCTCCCACCTCAGTCCCAAATCCATGGCTCCACCCTGCCTGCATCAAGGCCAATCTCAAGGACTCCCTAATAAAGGAAAGACAGGGCTGCCCTGGAGTTCCCCACCCCGCCCCCTCCATGCCTCCAGGGTGACCTGTGCCTCTGCTGGGGAGTTGGCCAAGCAGAATTCAAATTTAGTCCCGCCATTACCGGTCATTTGATCTTTATGGGCCTCACTTTCTCCCCTGTAAAAATGGAGATTGGAGCCCCTGAGATCATTTGTGAACATTGAATCACCATCAGAAATCTAACGATCTTGGCACACGGTGGACAATTAATGGACGCTACTTTCGCCCTGCCTCTGTGGGTGAGGTGAAATTCACCCACACTGTGGATGACTCTTTGCACACTCCGTGTGCCTTGCCTTCCAAACTCGGATGCTGCCCAGGCTTCAGGCGCGATTTTGAGAGAACTCCTGTTACCTCGGCTCTTACTTCTAAGCATCCAAGAGTCACAGCACAGGGACTAAGCTCTATCACACTCACTGCTTTGCACATTCAGGCGCCCTGCTCACCCCATCCAGTGTATGCCAATGCTGCCGCTCTTTCCTAGTTATCTCACAGGCACTCAAACTACCTTTCAAAGACCCAGCTAGGCTTCATGGTGTTCATTTGGGATCTGCTCGGGAGGCTGAGGCAGGAGGACAAAACTTCAAGGCTTGTCTGCATACCTGAACACACCTGGGCAGAGGAAACCTCCACCGAGGAATTGTCCCCATCATATTGCTACTTGATGTGGGAGGGTCCGCTGTGGCCTTTCCTTTTCCTGGGCAGGTACGCCGGAAGAAAGGTAGCTAAGCAAGCCCAGGGAAGCAAGCCAGTAAGCACCGTTCCTCCACAGTTCCTGCCTCCTCCTGGTTCACTTCCCTGAGCTCCAGCCCTGGCTTCCTTTGATGATAGACTGCAACCTGGAAGCTAAAGCAAGCCCTTTCCTCCACAGGTCTGTTCTGGTCAGTATTTTATCCAGCAACAGAAACCAAACTAGAACACCGGCTACAGAGTAAGTTAAGTTGTACACCATTCTATCTCAAAAAGTAAAAGGAAGGCTGGGGTGTGGCTCAGTGGTAGAGCTCCTGCCTAGAATCCCCCAGTGAGGGGATAAAAACAATGACAAAGCATTTATTCAGCATGCACAAGGTACTGGGTTGAATCCCAAATAGGACACACACACTCACACACTCCACACACATTATTTGCATCATGAAGAACGGAGACTATGAAACCCACCTGTACTACCCTAGCCAACTGCACCTGGATTTACACGTCAGCACTTTTAAATTTTACAGAGGAAGAATTGAAGATTCACGTGGACCAAGGGGCAGCGAACTTCTTTGCAAACTCCTGCTCTTATGTGGTCATTCCTTCCGCTGTGGATACAATGCTTTCTAGCTGCATGCACTGTGCCTGTGGTAGTGGGCACTCCATGGAAGAGGGGGCCTAGTGCCAGCACACAAGCCCCCTGAGGTCCCTGGTGTGCGTCCTGCCTACGGCCCCTGTGTCCCCTTCTTTCTTCTGTGTTCAGTTTCTCTGGGAGGCTACCCTGTTAGGGTAGCAACTTGGCTGTGTTACGCAGGAGCTAACTCCTGGAGAGACTGACCATCAGGGCTCCCAAGACAGGACATAAAGAGCAGCAGGTTGGCCTGCTCAGGGACTCTGACACAGACGTAAAGGTAACAGTGTTGGTTAACTCCAGACGGGCCAGGTCAGAGCTCCCAAACAGAGAGCAGAGAAAACGGGCAGGAGTGGTCCATGCTACGTCAGGCCAACGCAACCCCTGGAACTCCCTCCCCTGGCTAGCCTGGCTAGAATACTACTGCCCCTTCTCCTATGGAGACCTTTAACTTTAAGAGCACCAAGCCCCTATACATACATATACACATACATACACATTCCGGGATCTTATACATTTACTTAGACTGAATTCTGGGTAAAGTGGGCTTTACCCACGAGAAGTATGCCTCTTTCCTGAAATTGCCCACCCTGGGAAATCACAGAGAAGGGGAAGAGAGAAAGAGGCAGGTCTCCTGCCAGCTAGGATGAGAGTCGCTGCTCTGCTCTGCTCTGCATAAGGACACACTTCTGTTTCCTCGCTCACTCCAATTAAACTACCCTGAGCTACTACCCTGTCCTGTCTGAATCCCCTTTCCAAGATCAGCCCTGAGGCTGAGTCCAGGGGAGCCTGGAGTCCCTCAGTTAGACACAGGTCCACCCTTCATGGTTACTTTGAATAGACCTCACAGCCTGAGGGGGTTAGACCTTGGTTCTCTCTGTCTCTGTCTCTTCGACTCTGTCTTTCTCTGTCCCTCTCTCTCGTGCATGTGCTCACTCGCTTGCTCACTTGCTCATCTTTCTTAAGCTAGACACAGACCCTATCGTGTCTAGATCTCCATAACTGTACTGTTTCCACCTAGTGTTCTTCCTCCTACATCCAGGCCCTTTCCTCTTAAGGTGTCAGCTGTACCATCTAAAGAGAATTAAGTGTCAGCTTCCTTTCTGGACAATCATCGCAGGCGTGCTGCTGTCTTACCATTATTATGCCTATCATTCCCCATTAATAGTCCCAGGCCCCAGTCAGCGCAGGTGCTCACTCTCAATGCCAGCAGCTCACCTCCCATGCCCATGCTGTGCTCCAGACCACAGCACCTGAGCAGATAGCCCCAGCCACTAGATCTCCAGAGTCAAACTCCTGTCTCTCCACTAGCTGATCTCGTGTGGCAGATGGAAGTAAGCTTAGCTGTTCGGGTTATTAGGGGTGACGCCACAGCAGCAGACAAAAGAGCCTCTCAGGATGCTGTGTGAGACTGGCTTCCATCCTGGTTCCTGACTGTTCGGAAAGTGACAGCCTTCTCTGGACCAAATGAAACCGTCTATCTTGAAACAGGGGCCTCTCCTTACCAAACACAGGGTCTGTGGTTACTCAGAAGGCTATGAAAACAGGGCTGAGATTTTTATCTTGCCTTTCAGGTGGTCAGACAAAGAGGTGGGGATATTGAACCTCAAAAAGGAGGGGTGTCTCTCTGGCCTTTCCCTCTAGCCACCATCTTGTTCCTGCTGCCTTTTTCCCAGCTCCTACCTTCTTGCTTCCCAAGTCCTTGAGCCTGGAATGTGGAAGCCCTAAAGATTTGGGTCCTTGGTGCCGGAAGTGTCAACAGAGACAGGGGGCTAGCTCTCAGTAGGACATCTCTGTGGACTCACAGATACCCACTGTGTGAGCTGGAGGGTGGTGGTGGGGACTTTCAGAGTGAGGACCCTCATCTTAGTAGGGACTCCTTTTCCTCCAATACCTTTAAACTGCTTTTAATTTTAAAATTTTTAATTAAAAATTGTTCTTCTGTTAGCATGTCAACATGTTCTCTATGGTGCTCAGATCTTAACTGCTACCTTTTACAAACGTGTATTCCTGTGGGAGCGAGTATGGGTAGAGGCCGGGGAAATATAAAGAGGTCCACGAGAGGCTAAAAGGAGGCTTAGAGGTGGAAAGGTAGGAGGGCAACAGAATACATGTGAGAGGAGAGAGGAAGAAAGGATATGAGTTGGGGAGAAGGGTCCAAGCAGGGACAGGGCAGGGAGATGGGGAGAGGCATTTCACACACATCAATGCTGAGTATGTGGGAAAAGGCCCCGAGTCAACCTGCCACTTAAATATTGTATCAGGTGAGATAGTGCAGTGTGAGATAGCTAACATGGGCTAGCAACCTCACAGAACCTAGACTCACCCAGGAGCCCAGCCAGCCTCAGGGACTGTTTGCAGGACATCATTAGGACGGGGCTAACTAATATGCTAAGGCCCACCTTAAGGGTGGGTGGGGGTTGGAGTCCTTGGGATGAAGAACAAATGAGGCCTTCGCTGCCATGAGGGACACTGCTTTAAACTGTGAGCCAGAGCAACCCTCCCCCCACCCCAGGCTGCTTTCAGCTGCTATTTTGAGGCAGATGACAAAGACTACAGGCTCAGGGAGATGAACACTGAGCCCCCCCCTCCCCGCCCGGTCTGCAGTACCTTTCCACGGCACAGGCTGTGGCCTCGTGGCTGATGGATGAGGAGTAGGTCTGCCATTCTCCGCCAGGCAGCTCTCGGACCTGCACAGTGAAATACCGGATGGGGGAGGCCCCGTCGCTGCCAGGGACCCACTGGAGCCGGAGGCTCCGTGCTGTCACTTCTGCCTGGGGTACCAGGAGCTCTCTGGGGGGCGCCGGCCTCTCTGCAACCAGAGAAGAAAAGCAGGGGCTCAGGAGAGACCATTCCTTGCTGCCCACGGGAGCCGCTGAGTGCGACAGGCACAGCAGAAAGTACCTGCTGTATCAGCATGAAAACCCAAGTTCAGGCCCCAGTGCTAGGGAGGTGGACACAGGCAAACCGCTGGGGCTGACTGGTCAGCCAGCCTCACCTGACGGGAAAGCTCCAGTCCCACTGAGACACTCTGTCTTAGGAAACTGGGTTGAGGTACGTGAGGAAGGAAGCCAGCACCCAGGGCTGGGCTCTGATTTCTATATGCACCCACACCCTCGGTCCCACTCACATGGACACACAGGCGCTTTTGGGCTGCCCCTGCACACAAAGAAAGAAGTCCCTGGTTCGGGAGGGGGAGGTTGTCCCACCCTGGTTTTGGATACAGCAGATCAGGTCTGACTAGGAGCATCGCTTGCTCTCACTGTAGAAACAGCCATAGGTTGGTTGGCCCCAGCCCCTGCTGGCAAGGGCAAGTGCCTCTGAGTGACAGCCGGCAGCTCAGGCACTGCTCTTCCGGAGGGCCCGAGCCTCCTTTGCGTGCACTGTCTGATTGGGGGCCTAGCATATCCTTAAAACCTAGTTTCTTCTTCTTTGTATTTAACCTGAGTCTAACACATGAGAGGGCTCTACTGGGTTCTCCTGGGAGGTGTGTGAGTGTGTGAGTGTGTGTGTGTGTGTATGTGTGTGTGTGTGTGTGTGTGTACACACTGTTAGTGGTTCCTGCACATTTAGAAGGCAGGATGTCTGGGACCAGCCTTGGCCTTGCCTGGGTACCTGTGCCTGACACGGTGTTCCTGTCCTGCACTGACTTCAGCAGAGGAGGTCTATAGAGGGAGAAATAATTGTTTAATTGTTTATCATGAAGATTATTGATTCTGATTAAAATGTGTGGCCTGTAATAAAGCAGCCATCGATTGTGGGCCCCACAGTGACAAGGCTGTGAGAGGCATTTCGATCTGGTTCAATCAACGGTCCTGGCTGGGAGTGTACACACTGGCTGGAAGCCCAATTTCTGCAGGCCTGAGAGAGAGCGGGGACCCCCATCCAGTTCCCGAGGCCCTCTATGGCCATAATGCCACAGGCTCCAGCTCCCGTCCCTAACTCTTGCATTAGGATCTGGTGGGAAGTCCAAGCTCTCCAGCCCCTCAGAGGCTGGGAGGGAGTGGTGGTTCTGTGCTCCAGGCAACAAGCCAGCATGACCAGGCTGCACTGGCTCAGCTACTCAAGGGTGTTTGTATGTCTTCGTGTGGCTCTGACTCACGCCCTGTAAGGGCCTTCCTAAGTCTTTCTCATCCCTGTCCTTTGCCTCCAGGGTGCGGACGGGCTGGAGAGTTACGTCAGCTGGTAAAGTGAGGCTGGTACAAGCCTGAGGACCAGAGCTGGATCCCCACAACCCGTGTGAAAAGAAGGGAAGTGGTGTATGCTTGTAATCTGAGGCTCACAGGCCACGCAGCCTCGCCAGCTCAGCAGGTGCCAGGCCAGTGCGAAACCCTGTCTCAGAACAAGGTAGAGCGTCTCGGGGCATGACGCCCAAGGCCGCACTTTACCAACCTGTGCATGCTTACAAACACCCGCTCACATGTCCATACTTCCGAAGACAAGCACGCATATGAACATGCACATACAAGCAGGCATGCAATCACACACACACACACACACACACACACACACACACACACACACACACGTTCATCATTCCTAAGGAGAGCATGACCTCGGGAAGAAGGCGAGGGCCAACGGTGGCTGCCTGTGGTCTCTGAGCAAACAAACCCTTGTCATCAGTTCTTGAAAACACTGTGCACTCTGGAGACCAGGCTGCAGCTGTCAGTCCCTGGAGGCCCCGCCCCCTCAGTGACCATCTTTTGGAGCCTGTTCCCCCGAGCCAGGTGCCATAGGCATTGAAGGCTCATCCTCCCCCGAAGGACCCCGTGAGAGCACCCACTCACAGAGCTGCGAAGGCAACAAGAACGGGGCCAGCGGGCCCTGCATATGGGCCTGGCTAACAGGAGAGGCGGACGGCATTTTGGGAAACCTTGGTGGCAATACTTGCACATTGGCAAGCAGGGGCAAGATGTTAGCTTCCAGAAAGAGAGTGGTCAGGGCTCAGCGGGTCTAGCATTTGCCTAACGTGAAGGAGGCCCTGGGTGGGTGTGGTCTCTGGCAGGTGTAACGGCATACACATGTAGCCATCACTGAGGAGGAGAAGGATGCCGGGTGGTAGTGTTGACGGCGCACAGCTTTGGGCCCAGCACTTGGAGGCAGAGGCAGGCAGAGGCAGGCAGAGGCAGGCAGAGGCAGGCAGAGGCAGGCAGATCTCTGAGTTTGAGGCCAACCTGGTCTAAAGGGGGAGTTCCAGGATAGCCAGGGCTACATGGAGAAATCCTGTCTCAAAAAACCAAACCAGCCAACTAAACACCACCAGCAACAACAATAGAAGCAAGAGGACCTGGAGCCCAAGGCCAGCAGGGGCTATGTCAGCTGACTGCTTTAAGACAATCGATCTTTATCCTAGAGAGATCAGCCTATCCCAACCCCTACAGCCGGCAAGCCCCTGCTGTGAGGATAAAACCTTCTGCAGGGGTGACCAGCCCCATAAACAAGGCTCCTCTGTACCCCAGCAGCCCCAGACACCCCAGCCATATTAGAACACACATGAACTTCTGAGCCATGGTCAACCTTCTTCTTTTAAGTTGTTTTTCTGCAGTATTTTGTCATAGTAATAAAGGGCTAACACAGGCTGACTGTCAGCTTGAGGCTGGGAAAACCCCAGGAGCAGAGGCGTGCTCTGCCTGGTGGATCCTGCAGACAGGCAGCCTGAGTAGCCTGCAGCCACTGGGGTGGGAGTGGGGGACCCTGGCTCCACCCAGGGAAGGCTGGTGGGCCCCGGGGCCCCAGGGTTCAGGCACAGGGGGTGAGACCCGACTTCATCCTGTTGGTGTTCACTCTGCAAAGATGAGGAGCGATGGCGTGAGTAGCACGAGGGCAGGCATGGTGAGTCTCTGGACAACATGACCCGTTCTTTGCCCAGCAGGCTTCTCCTTGGCGGGGACTCGGATTCTTCCCTGATAAAACCTTAGCGGGCTTTGGTGAGGGTGGGACACGGGAGACGGCGATCCTTGGAGCATGATGTGTGAGCTCCGTGTCAGCCCCCTTGCTCTGTGAGATTTAAGCGCTCTGAGTTCGACTCCTCGCTCCCTGAAATGGCCTGCTTTAGCTTTTGCAATAAAAGTGGTCACAGATGCAGTAGGGGCACTCAGTCACATGGGATGAGCGTTCACGTCACACCAGTGCAGTTCCTGAGCCTTGCTGATGGTGGGGGGGGGCAGCCAGAAGCCCTGCCACTGGGCTGACTCCCCCATGCAGGCCTCCCAAGCTGGTGCCATAGCAAAGAGAGGGGAAGAGTGTGCCAGAGGCCTCACGACCCAGGCCTTGAGCTCCTCCTGCTCAGGGCCCAGACCTCTGGGTCTGGCTGTGATGCCATTGCTATTTTAGAGTAGAGATTGTCTTGGAAAGGTAGTCACAGTGACTGACTGAACAGAAGAATAAAGTATTAGCAGTACCTGTGGTAATGATGATGGAGCTTAGGAGGGTTAGAGGACCCACACCTGGGATCCCACCATTACTCCCTCCTCTCTCCCACTGAGCTAGCTGCGAGTGATGCTGGGAGACTAGACTACACAGAAGTGGAAGGCTGACTCCATGAGGTCATCACTTTGTGGTGATACAGCTGTTTGGGGATCACCCACACACTTGTAAGTGAAGCCCTACCACCTGTGCACAGGAAACCACAGATCCAACACACTCCCTGGTTCTCCACGCTGAGCTTTCATGGCGCTCTTCGTCTGTTGGCTGTCCCCTGTTTAGTCATTGTTGGTTTATGTCTCCTCAGGGAAGATAAGACCATAGCACCTCTGCCTGGAGGCATGGCTTCTGAGGAGATGCCCTTTGGGCTTCGGTGGAAGGTTCTAGAGTAGTGGTTCTCAATCTGTGGCTCCCCCCAACACACACAGAGGTTGCGTATCAGATACCCTGCATGTCAGACATTTACATTACAATTCATAACAGTAGCAAAATAGCAGTTATGAAGTAGTAACAAAGATCATTTTATGGTTGGAGGTCACCACAACATGAGGAACTGTATTAAAGGGTCTCAGCATCAGGAAGGCTGGGAACCACGGCCCTAGACAAAGCCCCGTGCTATCCTGGGCTAGTTACACAGCCTCTCTGAGCTGGGCTTCTTACCTCCAGGCCTCCATAACATGCCCGACGGTCTGAGACAGTGGCCAGGTGGCGAAGAGTTGTGCTGTGAAGAGGCTTTGACAATAGGTCTCGCTCAGAGCTGGGGACATGGCTCAGCAGTACAGTACCCGCAGAGCATGCGGGAGGACCCGAGCTCTGATCCCCAGCAGCCGCAGACACCCGGACACCACGGCCTGTATCTTTAACCCCAGAACTGGGGATGCAGAGACAGGTGGGCCCCTAGAGCCAGGGACCAGTCTAGCCCTAACAGCTGGCTCCAAAAGCAACGAGAAACTGTCAACTGTCTCAATAAAACAAGGTAGCGAGGATTAAAGAAAGACAGCTGGCCTCTGGCCTCACATATATGCACATGCATGAGTACCTGCACATACACATCTGAGCACACACATACGCCACACACACTTACAAAAGTGAAAAAGACAACCTGCCTAGCTCTATGCCTGGCTCAGGCTTCCAGGCGCGGTGGTGATCAGAGGGGCTGAAGAGACACCCGTGTGCCCCCCCCACAGTCGGATTGGAGCCTGGGGTCTCACCTCTCTTCTCAGTGGTGATGACTGTGGCCTCCAGTGGCTCGCCCCAGCCCTGTCTCGTCTTAGCAGACAGTCTGAAGATGTAGGCAGACTCCGGGGCCAGCTCGGTGGCTGTGAACTGCCGTACCGTGGCCCCCACCTCGACCGTGGTGAAGGTGTGGGGACTGCCGCTGGCCAGGCGGTAGGCGATCTGGTACCCTGTGGGGAACAGCGGGGGAACAGAGTCAGGGATCAGCTTAGCCATTCATTTCTTTGCTCACTCGCCCAGAAAACGCACACTCCGGACACCCCATGATCAGCCCAGATCGGAAACCCAGACACAGCCTGCCCTCTGTTCCCTCCCGATTTCCAAAGGCTGTGGGGAGCATATTGGAAGGGAGATCACAGCCCTGGTGATGAGTGCGGGCTGTCTGAGCTCAGCGCTCTGTGAAACTTGTCTCCCTGTTCATCCTTCATGGGAACAAGATGTGAAAACAGATTCATCTTTCCCCAGGACTCTGCCCACTCAGAGAATAGCACCAGACCCGGGCCCCACATTGCTCCCCACCGGAGGCGTCCTGAGCCCAGGCCTCTGGCTCTTCCATCCTTTTCCATCTCCCCTCCCATGGCACAGCCCTTCCTTCCCTTCAGCCCAGCAGGGGAGGCCAGCATGCCCTAAGCGGGTTATTTCACAGTTCTCATGAGCAACGGTGCTTGCAGCGGGCAGGGCTCGGGCCTGGTTACACCTGCACACTGGGGTATTCAGCCCCCTTCCCACACCCTCATCTCCCACAGTCCCAGCCCCTCAGCCTCCCCACCCAGACCCGAGGCCGGAGCCTCCACAGCCGAACACCCCTTCTGTTAATTTCCGTAACTCCAGAGTGGCAGGGTTTGGCTGGCTCTGCATGTCTCTCTGAGTTCCTTGATTATGAAGGGGTCATGGTTGATCAGACATTATTAATGATAAAATCCCTCCAACCAAGCAACCCCAGTGCCCGCCTGCTGGCTTCGGAAGAAGCCTTGCCAATTTCCCAAACCCAACAGTGAGGTGTGGGGCAGACTGCCTTCTGGGCTCACAGACCACGTGTGGCCCGGCTTCTGATTAAAACCAGAATGGATGGGGTGCTGTGACATAAAAAAAAATTAATGACCACCCAGTGCTCGCGATAAACTAGGGGGACTCAGCAGGGGAAAGAGAAAAGCATCGAGGCTGCACTGGTCCTCCTGCCTGCCGGGGTGGGGGGCGGCCTATGAGGGGGCCGCCTGCAGGGACCAGGACGGAGTGTCTGCTCACCTCCTGCGGGAGCACGGCTCCTCCGTTACACAGCCAGGCCAGTTCCCCGGAGGCCTCAGGTTGCACTTCTGCGACTCCTGGTCCTCCTGGCTCAGCCTTTGGCTCCAGGGGTTTCCAAGCTTCCTGGCCATTTTCCCAACAGTCAACACAGACTGAGCACACCCTGACCTTAAGCCCTAGCCACCTCGGGTCATCGACAGGGTGGTTATCATTTCCACACAGACCAGCAGACAAGACCCTCAGCCGTGTCCACAGTGATGTCCAGTGATCTTGAGATGCTGACCCCAGGCCTCTGAACAGCCATTATGGCCACTGCCTGTCTCTGACAGACCAGCTTTTCTCACTGTCATGGGGCCCAAGACTGAAACCTAAAGATGGCTGGCCAGTCCTGCTAGGCCTCCTCTTCTCCCATCTCACTCCATCACGGGGAGGCAGAGCTTGGGTGACCAGGGGATATGGTTGTAGGCCTTAGAGACTCCTGCACTCTCAACACTATATAATAAGTAGATGTCACAGTGACTGGAGAGCCATGTGGAGGGGACATGCTTCCTACAGTCTCCCTCCAGAGAGTGCTATCAGCAGCAGCTCCAGTAGGTCAAACGCATGGGCAGGGCCTCTGGAAAGGTTACACTTTGCCCAGGGTTTCCAATGATGTGCGCCCCAGGTCTGTCCTACTTTTTTTCAAAGAGAAAGCCCCACACTTCCAGAAGGAAGACCGCCCCTCTTGGCTCTCATTTGCTTCCAGGAATGTCTAACCTTTTGACATTGTGATAGAAGTTGTCATGTGCAGAGTTCATGCTTGAGAACCGTGCAATCAAGTTATGAAAACAAATCACTGCCCAGCCAAAACACTCCTGCGTATTTCCTCTGAAGTCCCCAAGTGAACAAAGACACTGTGTGTCTGTCTTACAGCTGGCACTGTTCACATAGCCATGAGAGGAGGATCGGAGGAGAAAAGAGAAGCTAGGAGGCCATGTGAGGTAGGGTGTGCACAGCAAGCAATATATATGAGCTTGAAAAATTAATAACACGATAAAAACTTTTTGTAAGGTCTTAAGCAAGTTCATGACTTTGTGGGCCATACTCAGCTGTCTTGGGGCTCACACCGTCCACGGGCCCAACACTGGATGCACCTGCTACACCCTGTACCCCAAAGGCCCCTCTGCGAGAGACCGTCCAGGCAGAAACGGTGTTCCACATCTCTCCCCGGAGGAGATGGGCCTGAGACGGACGCCGGCTCTGTAAGTTCCCCACTGTTGGTTATGTTAAAGTGACCCGCGCATGAACACGCTGTCCTGGAGCTTGAAGTGGACTTGCCTTGTGGCCATTTCTCAATTCTGTGTGTTAACTGACATTCCCAGAAAAAAACCCCTCCCACTGTTAAACATTCTCCATGGCTGACAACCAGTTAGAACGCCAACGTTTGTCACCAGGTGGAAGTCGTGGGCCTACAAGTAACTTGGGGCATCTCAGCCCCTAAATAGCATTTACCAACTGCCTCTGTGCCTAGCATCTTGTGACGATTAGGTAAATCTTCTGCAATCCACAAACAGACCCTTGACTCCCACCACCCACCCACTGCTAAGCATGTCCTTGGAGAGCGTCTGTGGCCTGTACCAGTGGTAAAAGTTTTGGGCTTTTCTTAGCAACAGAACAAAGAAAATTCTAAGTCAGGACACTTTTCAGCCATGTTGGTGGGAACCTGGGTAGGCTGGTTATGGAGGGGTGGGGAGGTCACTGGTATTTATTATCAGTATTTTGGAAAACCTCTAGATTTAAGCTGCCCTTCTTTAATTTAAAAAAAAAAAAAAGGCATTACTTTTGGTCCACTGCTACCAGTCTATAGTCACAGCTACTCAACAGGCAGGATCTGCCTGAAAGCTTAAGCCAGCCTGTGCAATAGAACTAGATCAAGGATAGCTAGGGCAATGTAGCAAGACTGCTTATCTGAATAAAAAACAAAGAAATCTCAGTGGTACAGCACCTGCCTAGAATCCCCCAGTGAGGGGCTGGGGTGTGGCTCAGTGG